TGTGTGTGTGTGTGTGTGTGTGTGTGTGTGTGTGTGAGTAGAGGAGACCGTATTAACAGGATAAGTGAAACAAAGAAGCAAAGAAGAAGGCAGAGATCATAATTTATTCCAATGGAGAATAAAAAAAATGGTGGCTTGGGACCAGGTGATGTCACTTTTTATGGCCCAACACAACGGGCAAAAGGCAGATGATGTTTTCCATTGTGTGGATGTGTGTGGATGTATCAGATACACTAGACAAATATGAACTAATTTAATTTGGTTTTAATAAAACTTGCAGGAAGTAATTACTGAGTTTGACGCTGAAGAACTTTTGGATTGGAGTCAGCTCTATTCAAGATGGCCTAAAAAACAGAAGAAAAAAAGAACYCCGTCARTTTTACAGATACTGACCTAAAGTTTKGTGTGACAATACCAGACACTAATTCTCAACTGATCTACTGTACTTACTGAGTGCTAGCACTCTTTGGAGTCAAACTTGTGTGTCTGTTAGCAAAATATCTCATGAACCAATGAGTAGATTTCAAGGAAACTTCCAGACTTTAACTGAATATACAGCTTCAATCTAGTTTAAAATGATCCCCACAGCCAACTGACTTTTAAAATCACAAAAAAGCTATATCTTGTTGTTGAATGAATCATAAGCAATGACTAAAACAAATCCCGCAATAACAGTTTTTATTTAGTTTTATGCTTAGCAAGTTTCGGCTTTCCTTTTGTTCTTTTGAGGCGATCAGTTTAGGTCCAGCACAGAAACAAAGCTTCCATGCCACAAACTGACCACAACAAAACTTAAATACAAAAATGCAAAATTAAACAAGTGACAAAAGTCAATGAAAAAAAGACTTATTTTTTGAAATACTTTGAAACTTTTCCTGAATTTGAAACTGAAGCCCCACTCCACTGATCTCTGAGTTTTCTGACAGCTCTCCCATATTTCTCCAACTTTGCATCTTCCACTGCTCTCAGATCAATCTGGGATTAGGCTTGATTACACGGACGCCCCTTTGGGACGCTTTATTTCAACGAATTAGTCGAGCGAACGAACAGAACTGCAACAGAACGGTATTTTGTACCAGCCACATAAATTATGCATCGTCTGTGGATATCACTGAGCCTTGATCATCTCTTTTATGGTTTGCATTCAGAGTGAGAGAAATTGTTAATTGCCAGACGTGTCACATATAATCTCCGCCGTGTTTGATACACTACAGGGATGCGGTCTATATGTGTGTTATTTATTCATGCCGTGATGSAGTCACTGTGGGTGAGGAAACCGAGACGCAGAGAAAATGTTTTTTTATGACTGTTTATGTTTTACAACTGTGGCTTTAGCCAAAATCACCGTAAACAAATAAGAAAAATGAAAGTCACTGCAGCATTTATTCATGCAATTTGTGTTTTTTTTTCTTTTATTCTTGTTTAATAAAAGTGTGTAACAAAAGATTGAAATACAAACATAAACTCTGGCAAACATCTAAAGTGGATGCTGAATTAAA